AATCCCTTGTATGGGTATGAGGGGATGTACTATCTGATTACAGATTTAAATGTCTATAAAGTCTTTGATGTTTGTTTTGTGAGGTGTGATTTCATCAACATCTTTTGTTAATGTGTTGAGTGGGGTCACCCAGCTGTGTCTTGATCAAAATACATCTGCTATTCATCAGAAGTCTCGTCTCAAGTCTCTTTATTTGGCTTTATTGAGACTTGGGAAATAAAAGGTGCCATACACTAGGGATCCCAAATTAAGCATAACTTCTAAGATTTCTAGTCTATACCATTAGGTTCTCTCCCTAAGCTCTCTAATGGTTTATAATTTTAAATGTTTGGCTGAATTTAGTTTTAATTAGTTTCTAAGAAACATCCACTGCAATTATTAGAATGCAGCTTTTCCTTTCTTTCTCAGGGCTGTTTTCTAAAACTGAAGAACTGGATTGAAAGACACATTTCTGCATTTGGAGGAGTTGGGGTTCTTCTTGTATTCGGTCAGGTAAGCATAAAGGTCCTGGATAAACAGCTACAGTAATAGCATTTGGTGCTTGGTTGGAGAGACAAATCAGAATGTCCAGACTTTCAAAGTAAAAAAAACAATGCGGGCTGGTCAGTTACATTTGGGATCCTTAATACTGTTTCTCTTGTACAATAGCAGCTCAATCTATTGCTTTCAATAGGGCTTAGAGCTAAATGCCATCTAACTGGAATGAGCTGTTCTATTTTCCTACTCCCCGTGCATCAGAATTAAATAACTTTATGTATGTATGTTCTGTGCTTTCTTATCAGCTAACTGGGATCCTGCTTTGCTATATTCTGCTGAAAATACTAAAAGAAAACTATGCCAGCATTGACTAAACTTAAGAAGCTAGTGTTCATTTTATGGCTGTAGTTGAAAGACAATATTTATGGTCCTTTTTTTTTTTTTCTTTTTGTCTTGCTAACTATGTAGTACACAAAATAAACCATAATTCTAACAAATGATTGTTGCGTTGTTATTATTTTTCACTCCTGTTATTGTGGCCTCTCTGGATTCTACCTCTTAAAAAGGGCAACCTGCAAATATTTAAGTTGCTAAAACGTAAAGATCCTATTTCATACAGTACAATTCCACTCAAGTTTCCATGCAGATAAGTCTCTTGTATTCAGTATGGTATTATAGGATGACAATCTTTTAAAAAAAGTGTGAGTTTAATACACTCAGCCAACTCAGTGTGTATAACAATTAGCAAGACGAAGCCTGGTTGGTCAGGTAAATGAATTTATGGTTTGGCAAGGCACTTGCAATGAACTGTGCTAGTCATATAAATAGCATGGGAAGATGGTAAATCATAACATACTAAGTAAGAAGTAGAGCCACCTTCAAGTCAAGCTTACCTCCTGGAAACGTACATGGACATAGCCATGTAATTTTCTTGGAATATAGAAGGAGTTTACCTCCTCAAAAATTTCAGCTATGGCACTTGTCTTTCAGGCTTGACTCTTAGTTTTCTAGATCAATCAAAGTTGGCCAGATGTTGCATAAAACGCTTCCCTAATGTAAATACAGCTAATAAACAGAATATTGACATATAATTTATACTCAGTCTTTAGATAGCACCAACGAGAGTTGGTTAATGAGAGATTATCTACCCATCCAAGCATTGGAAGAAATGATTAAACAACCCTCGCACCCCCAAAAACAAAGTACAATGCAATATGTAAATAGTATAGGAAAGATACCTAACCCATTCTTGTAATATAGTGCAGATACTTAAATTTAGAGTAAATATGAACTATAGACATTCCTTTTCCTTTGTGGAAACAAGGTCAGCTACCTCTCATGTTAATCTCTCTGAAATTAAGCCAGACTCCTTAAAATGACTTGATTCATAAATTCCTACTTTTAACCTTGAAAGAGGGCTGTTTCAAATCTCTTTTCCATTTCAGTCTTGTTTTCTCTCCTCTGTCACTGCTTTTCTGGATGGAAATTTCAAATCCAGACTGTTAGAAAATACCTCTGCTAGTGTCCCAAAGAAGAATTCCACCAGTTGTGCAATTTCCTTTATAGGGCTGAAATATTGCCCTAGTATTTCCCCTTCCTTGCCCTCTGGAAAGTATTCATTTATTTATATGTATTTGAAGTACAGGAGTCTGCTCAAAACCTGCAAATCTATCTGCTAACCAACTAGAAGAAAAAATCTTCCATCTTTTTGTTATAGCAACTTAATCTGTAAAGCATCTGATGGATGTGTGTATGAGAGGGAGACATTGAGCAAATGGGTAGTTTTTAGAGAAGACAAAGCAGTCTGATGAGATTGGTAGTAACCCCATGGACAGTGGACTGCAACAGAAGTTAGCGAAGGAGTGCTAAGTACTGGATTTCTACATTTAGCACCAAATATCCAGGTGGAATTGTCTGACATTTAACTTTTCAGAGGAAGAGCCCATTGTGGCTATTTCTAAGCAGATGATAGAATTATGACTGATGCTGGTAAAATATTTTTGAAGGTGATTTTGTAATTATAGTTCCAGTGTGAGTAGGACTTGATTGGTGTTTCTGGGCTTAGATGCAACTTAGGCATTCATGAGTAAAGCTGGAAGTAATTATACTTCCAAGCTGTCAAGTTGAAGGAGAGTCTTCCTCTATTAAGAATGAGTGGAACTCTAACTACAACTGTTTTAATCACCACCAGTTACTCTAGCTGGGAGGAGTAGTACCTGGGAAACTACAAACCTGTCAGTATGATGCCCATGCTGGGCAAGGCCTCCAGACAGAATAGCAAGCAGCACATTTGTCAGTGCTTGCATAAGGATGCTACAATTAACAGGAGCCAGTATGCGTTTGTTGCAAATTGTGCCAGACTAACCTTCCTTATCTCCTTTGAAAGAATTACTAGCTTAGTAGATCAGTAGATGTGGGCATCTACTTTCTGGACTTCAGCAAAGCCTTTGACAGGGTGCCTTGTAATGTTCTCTTTCATAAAATTGTAAAATATGGCCTAGATGATACTATTGGTAGATGGACTCACTATTGGCTGAACGACTGCATGCTAAGTGCACTCATTAATGGCTCTATTCTAGCTGCAAGGGAATTGCTGAATGGAGTGCCACAGGGTTATCCTGCACTCAGCTATTCAACATTTTTATCAATCACTTGGAAAGTTAAGGGGACACTTTTAAAGTTTGCAAATGACACAGAACTGGGAGGAGTGGCTAAGAGGTTTAAAAAGACCTAAACAGGCTTGAACAGTGGGCTGATCTGAATAGGGTGGGAGAAATATAAAGGAAAAATGGATATGAAAAATGTAAAGCACAAATGTAGGAAGGAGACCTAACTTGGTGGTAGTATATGTGAAGGAGATCTGGGGGTCCTTGTTGACCACTGTTGAACCAGCAGTCTGATGCAGTTGCTAAAAAGACACATGGTGCATTATCAGGATGAGTTCCTGATTGTGGGAAATAATTGTCTCAATATATTTTGCTTTGGTTCAAGCCTCCAGAAGTACTATGTCCAATCCTGAGCATCAGGGTTCAACAGGCCAGGGACAAACTGAAGGAAATTTAGGAGAGAGTGACCAAGATGGTAAAGGGCCTGGAAACCAAGCCATAGGAAGAAGAAAGGATTTGGAATTTTTTTAGTCTACAGAAAAAATGACCAAGGGCAGATATGATTGCAATTTTCAAATATCTAAAGAATTGTCACACGTAAGGGGGAGTGGACTTTCCTCTACTGCCCCAGAGAGCAGAACCAAAATCAACAAATTAAAACTACAAGGAAGGATGTTCAGGCTAGACATCAGGAGGAACCTCCTCACTATACAAGCTGTCAGCCAGTGGAACAGGCTGCTACGTGACACAGCAAGTTCTCCTTTATTAGAAGTCTTCAGACAAGTACTAGATAATCACATCAGAGTTACTGTAGTGAAGCCTGCACTGAGTGTGTGCACACATGCACATGTGTTTGTGGACTAGATGACATCTTTGGCCTCTTCCATCTCTGATTCCAAGTAAATAAACACGCAAGGGAGCAAGAAGCAGTGGCAAGACTGCATTTAAGTAATGGACTGGAATCTTATTAGCCGGATCAACAGGTTGCAAGATTAAAAATTCTGTATTATGACATCGATGGCAACGTTTTTCCAATACGTACATTCTAGAAAAATACTTCACACTTTTGTTTGGCCTTTACTTTATGCATCAATCATTCAGGAAAGCCAAAAGAAAAAGAGATTATATTCATTTATTAATACTTTTCAAAGCAACCATATTTCTTTAAATATTAAAATTTGCAGACCCGCTTGAAATTCACTCGATTATTTTATCAATAGGTTTTCAATAATGAAAATGCTGTTAATTTATCAGTAAAATGTTCGCTGTTCATGTTTCAGAAGATAATCACTTATACAAACAAAAATGTTTCAAATCACTAGGCTTTTTTAAAAAGCAAGTTTTCCTTATTTATTCTGAACTACTGAAGTATTCCCAAAGTCTGCTTGTGTTTTCAAGCTATTCTGCAACGTCTTTTGCAGTCTTGCTATATTGGCATCCAATGCTGCTAATCCGTTTTTGAAGTCTTCTTCATCTCTGGATGTGAACGTTGAAAAGGAAGATACAGTCCATTCAGATTTTCCTGACATCCAGTCAAGAGTTGAAAAACTGGAGTCAGAAGCAGAAATTCCAGGGTTCTTCTGCCCATTTCCTTTCTGAAGTGAAACTGGAGCGTAACAGAGTTTATCAGGCTGAAGTCTGTCTGGATTGTTCAAAATCACTTTAGCAGATCCATTAGTTATTTCTTTTGGCTGCGTTTGGAGCCTCTCACTTTCCAGCTTTTCTATCCTCCCCAGAGTTTCAGATTTATTTTCAAAAGTCCTTTTTCGACTAAAGCTACCATAGAATTTATCACAGGCCTTTGCGTTGCTCAGCATCTCAAGCTTGCTTAGCTGCTTAGAGTCACGCTCCTGTTTGGGGGGAATCTGGTGCTGTTGTGTGATTGTCTCCCTTTCAGCTGCTGCGACTGGCTTCTGGGGTGAGCTGCTACTCAGTGGAATGTACGTAGTCTCATCCAGCTCATGGCCTTGCAAAGTACTTAAGCAGCTGGCTGCTTCTGCATCAAGCTTTTGGAAGACAGCAAGATTTCTTGAAGCCACTGTTTCCTCTGCCACCACCTGACTTTCTTGGGGAGGCCACTCATCTGCCCTCACATCCAGTACTTCCTTGGGCTCCTTCATCTCGCCCTTGGATAAGAGGGGCTCTGTGTTGGTTGGAGCAGGGTCCATTTCTAATTTTTTTAGATAGCTTATTACGGAATCGCTTAGAGGGTATGCATCAAGCTGCAACTGCTTCTCATGAATTTCCAAGAGAGCTTTCGATAGACTGCTGGCTTGTCTGGGCTTCACCATATCCCCTGTGAGGTCTGACAGCAGCTTGGACATACTCCTTTGGAGAACCCTGTAAAGCAGAGATGTCAAGACACTGTGTCAAAACGAGACAAATATCTAAAGGCTTGTACATATCTGAAGATTTGGGCATAATCTTAGGACCACTAATTGGACTCATTTCTGAATAGATATGTACTCCAGTCAGGGTATAATCTAACTGGTACTCAAACCATCAGGGCATCTAACTCTAAATACATTCCACAGAGGAGGAGTAGACAACCTTTTTACAGCCAGAACTGCCCTTTTCTTTCTATTTTTTTTCCCTACCTCTAAGGGCTGGAGAGAATGTATCAGGGGATGTCCAGGTAGTGGTGGTCCTCCAGCACTGTTTTGCTGTTTCATGGTTAAGTAGAATGTATTACAGTGCAAGAAACAGAATTTTAACACAACTATTTTGCACCTTTTTGGAGCTAAAACACATGGGAGTATTTGCAGCCAATAATTTGTGGTTTTCCTGTTGAATGCTGACCAGGTACTCTGGGGGCAAAAACCAGCAGGTAA